TCAATACTGGCATTTTATATATAGTTTGTGGTCGTTTGTATGGGAATATATCTGTTATTGTGGTGCGAGGGTTCTATTAGGATTGCTTCTAAGTGTCAGTGCGATGGAAGCGATACAAACTGATTAAAATGGCTTTAGTATATTCATATTTCAAGCATAGAGGTGACTTTAAAACAGTGTGAGGAAAAAGCGAGCAAGGTTGCTGTTTGTATTTGAATGAGATACTATTAATTTTATGGTGTTAAAATAACACCAAAAAGTGGTGTTAAAAAATTAGGTAAAAAATAACACTACTTTTTGGTGCTATTTTAACACCACTAAAAAAGTGTTAAAATAACACTAGTTATGGTGCTAAAACAACACCCATTTTTAGTGTTAAATTAGCACTAGTTTTTGGGGTTAATTTAACACCTGTTTATAGTGTTAAACTAACGCCACTTTTAAGTGCTAAAGTGACACCAGTTTTAAGAGTTGATTTTACACCTATAGTGTGGCGTTAAAATAACACCTGATTTGGCAGTGCCAAAGCAACACCTCTTCCTATCTGGTGCTAAAATAATAACAGATTTAAGGTGTTGATTTAACACTTTCAACCAGGCACATTAAGACACACACAAGTGAGAAATATAGGTTCAAAATTGGTTATTATTATAAATTACTCGCTGACAAGAAATACCTTTTAACATGCATGAATTTATATGAACTATAAGTATTAATCACGATTAATTTCAGAGTCCAAGCTCACTTAAAAGTTGTTGTACAGAAATTTTGTTCTCGGCATCAGCAGGGCGGTTTAAGGTGACAGCTTCTAAATTCTAGAAATGCATAAACACTCGAAACACCTGGAGTGTATTCCATATTTACAACATGGAATGTAGCAATAAGTATGTGGAATATTTTTACCAGCAAAACGCAAGTAAATTTGCCCCACGGCAGCAATGTACAATGGGTCCAAGGATGCAATGTCACCTGATGCCAAGATTCAAGGATAGCTATAGGTTGATTTCCTCACTTCTTCATCAATGGACAATGGGGTCGTCATCCTAAAAGTATTCATTTTTACATTAGTCTATACAGTATATATATTTAGTAATTTTAAATGTTGTCAAGTTCTAATGCAAATGCTGTATTCTGATTGGCTTTACGCTACTCGTTATCTAATTGTCAATGAGATAGCTAGCTAGAGCGCAAACCATCTCTTTGTTGTGACTAATAAGCATTGATCACATGCAATGATAGGATAAGAGATGTGCCATCTCACCTTAACACTACATGTAGCAATTTTAATTACTTCAAAAGGAGTATGCACAGTATATAACAGAGGGTAGCCAATGAGCAAGTGTCCCTTAACTATATAATTAATCACTCACTACTGTTACAGTTCAATTCCATTTTGCCATTGAAAAATCATGTCAATACATCGCCATTTCAAGAATGAAAAACTAGTTCATTATAATGTTACCCGTGTCAAATGGGCCATTTGTCCAGGACGGATCAGAGATGTGCCATGATCTCACCTTAACACTACATGTAGCAATTAATATTTTTCAAAAGGAGTACAGTATCTAACAGGGAAGCCATCGAGCAAGTGTCACCTAGCTTAACTATATAATTAGTCACTGGTACAGACTGGCCAGTACAGTCCAATTGCATTTTGCCATTGAAAAATCATATCGATACATTGCCATTTTAAGAAAGAAAAATTACCCCCATTATAGTGTTAATTAACTGTGTCAAATGGGTCATTTGTCCTGGATGAATAAGAGATGTGCTATCTCACCTTAACAAGTGCTACATGTGGCAATTATTCTACTTTAAATGAGAACCTGTTGCAGTAAGAACTTATTAGGCTTAGTGTATCTTTTGACATGGTCGAGAAAGAGAATTATGTTTGGGGATTTTATAATGTGAACATTATATCATAATCAATATTTTCACTCTTAAATATTAATACTCAGGACTCTCCCATTGATAGCCCAATGATAGGTAAAATTATCTCTGTCATTATACCGTAAACCTCCGGCTATAAGCCCCCCCCCCCGACTATAAGCCCCCCTCGAATATAAGCCCCCGGAATATAAGCCCACCACATATACTAACGCTCAATTCATTCCAAATATAAGCCCCCCCCGAACATAAGCACACCCAAATATAAGCCCCCCAAATATAAGTCCCCTGAATATAAGCCCAGTAGCCCACTATGTTATTCAACATTTTCATTGTCTTTTAATATAGCAGAGAACGATATTTAAAAACATTGTCATTGTCTTTATAGCCAACTATATGTTATGTTAATCAAAGCACGTTATTAATGGTGTATATTTTCCTGTTTATGACTGACTTGTTTATGTCTGATTTGTTTATTACTAACACAAAAGATCATCCATGTATTAGACCCCCGCGTATATAACCCCCCCCCCTTGTATAAGCCCATCAAAAATCGCTTACGAAAGTATATAGCCCAGGGCTTATATATAAGCCCAGGGCTTATAGTCGGAGGTTTACGGTATAAGATCCCCTTGGCAAATTAGATAAAAATTGTCTGCGTTAGCCAGAATAAAACAATAAAATAAGGTATATTTGGGAACATTGCAGCTTAAATTAATGGTTAAAAATCAAATATAAAATTCGAGTTGGCAAAAATATTCATGAAACACCAGCTCAGGTCCAGCTGTGTAGTGTATACTGTATCTCATCTCACAGACAGTATTAATAAAATAAATTCCATCGTTCAGTAATCAATATAAAACATTACCGTTTCGGTTTGCCATTGAAATTTAATGAATAAAGTATTGTTGGTCTGTGTTGTTGTGCGTAATTTGAATAGAATGCACAAAATCTTGCATTCCTATATGTATATGATATAGTTGAGGTTGGGCATTTAACAGCCATTTCCCGATTTTCCATCTCAGGTTCTAAAATACTTGTCTTTATAATTGAAATGAAAGCAGTAAACGCAAGATAAATCAGACAAAACTACAGTACTTGTAAATCAAAACGCGCGCAAGTTTTCTTAATTAACTGAGACTGCAATGGCAATGAGAATAGCCTCAGCATAATGGCGGTCGTATTATAAATACGACAATCGCAGACAACAATCACTATAATTCTCGCAGTATTATAATAACTCACCTTATTCCTTTCGACGTTTATCACATCTTTGAAGTTACAGGCGAACTAATTCTAAAGATTGACGCTGTGAACCACACGTTTTGAATTGCATTGGCGGCCAGACCTTTGTCATTCAAATACAAATACAAACAGCAACCTTGCTCGCTTCTTCCTCACACTGTTTTAAAGCCATCTTTATGCTTGAAATATGAATATACTAAAGCCATTTTAATCAGTTTGTATCGCTTCCATCGCACTGACACTTAGAAGCAATCCTAATAGAACCCTCGCACCACAATAGCAGATATATTCCCATACAAACGACCACAAACTATATAAATGCCAGTATTGATGTGAGAAGAAGGTATTAGATTTCACGGCGGCGCTATCCTCATTGGTTGAAAGCTCGATCATGCGGCGCGCGAATATTCAAATATTTCGGCTTCATTGTGTGTTATCTTCATATTGTGTTGCTACTGCTGCAAATTATAGCGTGTTATAATATTTGAAATGCGATATTTTGAGGTCCAATTTTGCCAGTTTCCAATCTGTATGATGAAATGCATAAACATACATGACACATGCATGTGACATGGGAACTATTTCTGTTAATTTATTATTTATATGTCTAAAAGTATTAACTTCTGAATTCAAATGTTTCATTTGTGAAATGGTTTATAATTTGCCAGTAAATTAATATGAGGCTGTTTCATGCTAACAGTAAATAATATTCGGATAAATATTTGCCAATTAATTAATTTGGCGAAATACCTGTAATCGGCCAGCCCTAGCCTGTGACGGTAGACCAGGCTCAAAACGTGTGTTTATAGACCGTGTTATACTGTAAAAGTGTTTTAGTTTAAGAATATATGTTATTCTAACTGCACAAACAGTTTTAACACCACCAAAAGGTGCTATTTTAACACCCGTGCTCAGTGCTAATTTAACACCACCAAAAAGGTGCTATTTTAACACTCGTGCTGCGTGCTAATTTAACACCACCAAAAAGGTGTTATTTTAACACCCATGTTCTAACTCCACAAACAGTGCTAATTTAACACTGGGGAATACAAATTTTTAACACCACTTATGGTGTTATTTTAACACCAAGAATTTAGCACCAGAAACCGGTGTTATTTTAACACCACCTGTCCTTAAGTGGGTGTTATTTTAACACCTCTAAAGTGGTGTTAAACAATTTGAGTGTTAAATTAACACTTTGCAAAATATTTTTATTTATGTCGTGTTAAATTAGCACCGAAAAAGGGTGCTAAAATAACACCTTTGTTTAACACCACCAGTTGGTGTTAATCTAACACCACCCGAGGTGTTATTTTAACACCCTGAAATTAACAGTGCTGGAGCATCAGATTCCACCACACATACAACTGCTTTCAACTGCGACTTTAGATCTTCGCTTCCCTCTCCGTTGATAGTCAACGATTTGTTCTTCATTATTATACCATCTCACACATATGTCGTCAAGCTCCAGCTTCTTGCAAACTCCGCGGGATGAATTCCATACTGACTGTTTCTCAAGTATATTGTTCATCATAATTTCTAAATTTTCAAACGTGCCGCTCCATTTGAACTTTTCTTTATCGCTTATTTTTAAATATTGAAGAACATTCTCAAAATTGTCGGAGCTCGCAGCTAGACATCCGCTCTCCATGACTCGTGATCAGTGAAAAGATCGTAAAGATCATTGATATACGTAAAATATTCGAAATTTTAGCAGGCATCGACCTGAATGAAAAGGAAAAATGTTGCCGTTAAAATGTTTACTCTATGTCAATTCTTCAAAATGTTCCACCGTATAAATACAAGGGTCTGAGCTATCATGTAAAAAGTTTCGCATTCTTGACGCTATATAGTTGCTGAGAAATACAATGACGCGTATTCTTGAGCTTGTAAAAGTTCGAAATCTTAGTAGACGTGGTCAACACATGAAAACAGGAAATGTTACCATTAACTTTTATTCTACCCAAAATATTCCGCACGGTAAGATCCAAGTGTCAGAGATGTCAAGAAAAACGTGTATCCAGCGCCTGAGAAAAACAGTCGAAGAGGAATGCAACTTCGTTTCACGTATCCGTGAGGTAATGAAAATTTTGGCATTTTAGTGGTGTCCGATATTGAAAAGAAAAATAACATTAAAAAATCGACATCCAAAAAAGGGTCGGAGTAAATATGGAAGATGTGTCTTGGGCCTGAAGTAATTTTAATGGAATATCAAAAGCAGCTAATCATAGCATATAGTTCCCATGTTTGGTTATGACAGCAAGTGTAAAAAAACTTAACATATCGTGGGACAATTGCATTTTCCTTCATATTGTGCCTTGAAGACTAGTAAGTACGCCACTGTATGTTGGCCGCGTTAAAATTCCTTGTGGGCTCCTGCCGCACGTTTTTCTTTGAATTTTGTATTAAACTCTATTACAGTTCAAAAATGTTGAATTTCAAATACACTTCTAACACAAATGACTTACATCATTTGAAAGCTTGCAAAAGATACATAGAAGACAATTAAACGGATACCAGGGTTTTTCAAGTTCTTCTTGAGTTATGAGCTGTTGAAAGCGTGTTTTCAGACAAGTACCCAGGATTTTTGCGAGATTTTGGCTTATTTTTCACATTTGAAACAGCAATAATTCGAAAACCGCTTGAAAATCCCAACTAACCATTTAAATGTCTTTTATGTAGTTCTTTGTTAGCTTTCTATTTATGCAAGTCATTTGTATAGAAATATATTAGAAATTTCACATTTTTTAAGTGTAATAGATGTTAATACAAAATTCGAAGAAAAAGTGTCGGTAGGAGCCCACAAAAAAATTTAATGCCGCCAACATGCAGAAACGTATTTACTAGAAGACAAAATAAAATTGTCCCATGGTAAGTTTTCCATAATTTTCATCCTCTATCTGCCTGACTATACGTGTTATCGACATGTTACCAAGATATCTTGTCCAATGCGACCAAGATTCCGTTTATTATTGTTCATGCTCGTACGTTAAATTTAAATTTTAGTTCTGAGCAATGTGTTCTTCTTTGAATCGCATATAAATGCAGACAGTAAAATCCTAAATCCTAATTATGTACATAATGACACATATATTAGAACAGGTCTCGAACCTACATACAGCAGGATCTAGATTAATCTTTAGATAGAATAGAATAGAATAAAATAGAATCGAATGGAATAGAATAGAATAAAATAGAATGGAATAGAATGAAGTTGAATGGAACAGAATAGGACAGAAAAACTTTATTTCACGATGGTACAAAACTTAAGGTGGCTCCCTACGGTTTTCCAAATTTTTAGGTATTCTGAGCAACCTCCCCTTGCAACCGAATATTTATTTATAGATTGAATACACTTAAGGTGACTCCCTACAGTTTACTAGAAAATGGGAGATCTCTGATTTAGACTCAATTTTCAACAATTCCTATATGTTAAAAGACAACGAAAGTCCAAATAGATTAATTTAATAAAAACTACAGAGTTGGATTTTTTCGAAAAATGGAATCGTAACTGCGGTTGCTATGACAACAATGACACTTCAATTTGGGCAATATTTTGGGTTTTAAGTTATTTAGCCTAAAAATAAGGTCGGTTACATCACAAAAAATCACAAAAAATCACGATCTTCGCATGCCTATGATATATAATGTTTTTTTAGTAATTTTATTTTCTTACTTTTTTAGCTTACATACAAAATCGAGTATTTCCGCCTAGTTTCAATTAACTTGGTAATAAAATTAAGATTAATAAAATACTCCTAAATAGGAACATTTTATTAATTTTTTTGTTTCTTTCAATTTGTTTTTGTTGTTAATTTAAATCGGTGTGAAATCTTTTCAAAACATCCAACTACAACTTCGACTTTTCATATAAAACAACTCGTGACTGTTTCGCTTGATTTAGCTGACAGAACAATACATGGTAATTGAGTTGAATGACAGGACTTTAAAAAGTTTTGCCCACAGTTCAACTGTTCAAGAGTTTACTGAAGACATTAATAATGTCTTCAGTAAACTCTTGAACAGTTGAACTGTGGTATCATTTCAGACGTCCACGACTGAACAGGCTCAACATTATATGAAAGACAATGGTTAACGTATAAACACGAAAAAGGTTAAAACCAGTCAATAACATACGTACTGTTTGAATTCTGAAAAACAGCTGAAGCTTTCTCTGCAGATGAAACGAAAAAAGACTTTCCGCGGCTTGTTTTAATTTTTTTACCGAACCGCGAAGATTCCACGCGCCAGCATGTCGCGAGTATGAAGTCTGATCTATACAAATCGTATTTAAAAACTGTGCTAACCGCAGGGAGCCACCTTAACAATTAAAATTTATTGATAAATTTGTGGCTCTATTATTGCAACTAACTATAATACTTAAAGGATCGGTATCACAGCATGGTATTGCGCGCCTTTGTTATTGTTTTTGTCTATTGTTAGTAATGCGGCAACTCATCCGCCTTGTCTAAGTGTTTTTTCAGAACCAATTAAAACCTTCATCGTGTTATTGACAGATGTTTCAATCTCCATTATTTTTGTTGGTGACATAAGTTTTGGTCGTTGTGTGAGGAAATATGTTGATCATGGATACAACAACTACAATGACACTATGGTAAAAGTTGCTGGCATTATCAGAGACGCAGATATTGCTGTTGGGAACCTCGAGTCGCCGTTTGTAACAAAAGCCATGCAAAAAGACAGGTTCAGCGGCCGAAAACGATATTTTTTACACGCTGACCATCGCAGTGCGACTGCGCTACAGTAAGTTCTTTTTTATTACAACATTGGAGTTAAAACTCAATGAAGCTTGCTTTCCAAGAGGAAGCTAAAAATTGAGAACCTGAATATCAGATTGGTGTGTCGCTTTAGATCTTGAAGAACAAGACTCATGCGAAATCATTCGCGCTGGCAAAATGTACACTCTTTTAAAGCTACAATTTTTGGCATTGTGCTTCAGTATACATCTTAGTGTAAAAAATAGTAGGGTGTCAATTATATAATTGCGTACAATTGGAAATCAGTCTTCATTTTGTATGTTTCCTGGCTTTTCCAGTGAAATCTATAAACACTGCAACGATAATATTAACCCCAGGTAAACTCTCCTATTATTGTGCGAAACCAAGACGGCGGCCTATAGAGTGCTCTCCTGAATAGGTACAAAACACGCGTATTTTTCGCGAGGGCTTTCAGATCCACGTCAGTTTCAATTGTTGCACATAAATGCTCATCTAAAGTTAGAGTTAATTACCGAGAAGGAGGTTTCTTAGTGAGATACAATCCGAGGGGCGTGATCCGAAGAAAGCGTCCTGAAGGCTGTAAGATCCGAGGGATGTTTTCTGACGGTCACACTCCCGAGGAATGTATCTTGCTAAGAAATTGATGTTTGAGGTAATTAACTCACCTAGTTCAAATTGGTACGGATTGACACGCAATGGAATTTGCATGAATTCTCATGTTGAACCATGTGAAGTGCATTAATCTACTTTTATTCACTTGCTCATCAAGAACAATTAAGATAAAATATATTTGCATTTAATTAAGACTATAGAGTTTGTTACCATGGGGTCAATATGAAAAGGAGAGTCAAACCACTTTATGAAAGCATGGTATTATTATATATCATGCGTCTAGCCGTGAATGCGTTGAAACAATGAACGACCTATATAGCGATGAAGATAGGTTTATAACGCAAAATACTTTCAGGTATCCGGAATCAGATGACAATGTAGAGTTATAGCTCGATATTCTGATTGGGGAAGGAGAGTTGGCGCAGCAAAATGACGTACCATCGGGATTTGCATTAATCCTCCAAAATAAAACCTGTTCTGCCGCCACTGTTCTTAGATATCCTTGTATCAATCGTTGGCAATAAACTAGTTACTTCTGTGCTCTACAGGCCTTGCGACTCTCGTAGCATCTTCTATTTACCTCTAGATCCTCCCAATCCAGCCACATCAAAGGGTCGATTTCCTTTTCTCACTTCCTACGCCTACGCGGCATTTGCAGTGAAGAGGCGAGGTCGACTTCCAAGCCAATATCCCTCAATGCCTTCAGCTCTTGGACAACATGATTTCAAATAGGTATAAATAAAGAGAGCCAGGAACTGAATCTCTTTTTTGTCTAACGTGGCTATCGCACCTCTCTATTAAACACTGCCTTTTAAAGGCCTCCCAAATTCCCCGATCTGAGACCCTTACAGACCCTGTGTCCAATGTCACAGGTAACAACAAAATCCTCCAAGCATTAACTTATCATTCATTCATTCAATTTCAAAGTTAGAGATGTCATGAGGAAATGTCATGAGGAAAAATTTTCACGCTGTGAAAAACGCAGCAACCCCGCAACATCTTTTTTCCAATAACTCCTTAGTCCCTTTTAGACACAGTAAAAATATTCTTTGAAACATAAGCATAGCTCCCTTTCACAGGATTCGACGTCACAGAATTGCACGTTTCGTTGCTGGGTTCCCAAATGCACGACTTGTGATTTTATAGATTCAGCCACGCCTATTACGGCACCAAAATCACAATAACCATGTCAAACACCATTTCACGTGCGCATCCTCCCATCTCATCTGCTGCATCTCATGGAGTCGATGTGGTATGCCTTATACTGGAGAGAACAGAAGGCCTTTGAGGACATGGTTGGTGAACATCGGCGTGCAGTCAGTGGCAGTCATGGTAACCAGCCTGTGGACAAACATTTTAATACTGCCAATCACAGTACTTCAGATATTCAAATATTAATTCCAGCCGTCTGCCGCATTTCTGTCTAACGCAGACATTGACATTACTTTTAATTCTTCCCCTATTCCGTACTTGTTTCACATATTTTATTGTGTTTGTGGTAGTTTTCGGTACAGCATATTCGTATAAATATATTATGTTACTTTGTTTTTACTAAATTCATCTTATTGGCTTATTTATTCCACGTGATAGCTTTTATATTCTTAGTATAAAAGCTCATGTAATTTTCCGACCTCGACTAGTAACCTAGGACAAAGACTCTTCGCTCGAAAAGTCGAAATTCTCCTTATATTTTTCAGGTAGTTGCATCCCTACCAACTGAAGCTCATACCCAAACTAAACTCTATTGAGAATAATAGAAATTTGCACAAATTTGAACTCATGGTAAATAACTGTCGTCTATATCATTCTGTGTTCATTTCAACTCCCTCATATACTGTAGTCCAGAGAAACAGAATTTGGCAGGTGAATGCCATTTAGTGGCCTAGATCATACCTACAGATAGGATTCAATTTCCACCATATTGGCTTCAAAAACACAACCCGAGTTAACGCTCCAGTTTTTGTAGAGTTCAATGGGCTTTCCTCGTTTCGCAATGTAGTTCTCCAATTCCGCACTTTGACTCACGATGGTGGAAAACATATATTTTCAGGTTTGCAGGATTTGATATCATGAGCATTGCAAACAACCACTTGAATGATTATGGTGAAAAACCAGTCAATTTTACCAGAAATATTCTAAGCAATGTTGGAATAGAGACGATCGGATTCAATTTCGGTTCATATGACTCACCGCAGGTATGTTAATCGACTAGTTATGTTGCACGCTTTAAAACGATTGTCAATAATTGTCATTATTTTTTATCAGTAAGAATGAAGCAATCTGATTGGCTGAAGAGGTTTTTTGCATCCGGCCCGCTCTAAAACGCAACTGCCCACTGTGAAATGCAACTGCCCGCTCTGGTTTTCGCGGCAAAAAATGAGGAGTGAAACAATTTTTGGACGAAAAAATCTGCCGAAAACGTTTGAAAAACGTAGCCTAACGATAGTCAGATACGAAAATGATTTGCATCATGCCCTAAAGACTTCATACTAAGCACGATGTACACCAGAATTGATAACTGTTTTAGAGAAATGCGACTGAAAGTCGGAAAGTTATTCGGACATGTATAAAACTTACACCGAGAAAACTATATATATTTTTTAAATGCTCATGTATTCGGCCACTTAAAAGCGAAAAAATTACAACTTAATTGAACAGATATTGTGAAAGAAATGTTTTCCCACTTAAAAAAGGTTTAACTGCAGCAGTGAAAAGAATCTCGATCATTTGTGTTAGGCATTTTTCACTGATATAAAATATTGTAAACAAACTAAAAGTCTGTGTGTTCAAGCATATTATCGTGAAACGACTAGAAAAAATACAAAAATACAAAATGGCATACCTTATTCATTGTCCTTTTAGCAGAAAAACGTTGATTAAATCAAAGCAGCCGGTAAATAATATATATATATATATATATATATATATATATATATATATATATATATATATATATATATATATATATATATATCGCAAAAGCATAGTATACAAACCGCACGTTGGGGGGCAGCGGGTTAATATCGAATGCACACTTTATAAATTCCTTAACTACAGGCATCATATAGATATTCCTCTAGAGAATCAACGTTTTAAGGACGCACTTTGAGAGGAAGAGAGAGGCAAGAAGAGACTATATAGTATACAAGAAAAAACATACTCCGAAGAATAACTTCTTGTAAACTCAAGATATGCATGAGCTATAACACGAGACAACAATTTTGCGATGAAATTGACCGCAAATTGACCGCAACAATTTGACCGCAAAATTGATGTCTTGTGTTATAGCTCATATCTTGAGTTTACAAGATGTTATTCTTCGTAGTATGTTTTTTCTTGTATTTTATTAAATTGTCTGCTGGTAATGTTTTTTGTTTTTTTTCTATACAGTATATTGTCACATTTTCGAACAGTAAACTTTTACACTCACAGTATTTTGCGATATAAAATTTAAGGTGCTCCCTACAGTTTTATTGTTATAGAGCACAACTTTAATTAATTCGTTATTTTGCAAAAATATGATAAGGAAAGCACCTATGCAAAACATTGCTTCAATACTGCATGAGGATCACAAACTTTCATTCATGATAACAAGGTAATTATCAAGGGGCAGTCAAGCGGGACAGACGTGTCTAGAATCGCTCCTCAGCTAACTGTATATTTCATGTTAAATATGAGCGATAATCCAACAGTGTCGATGATTAATAAAATGAAAGTGCCAGAGCTTCAAGCTGAACTAACAAAAAGGCACCTTGATACGAAAGGTATAAAACAAGTCTTGGTCAATCGACTTCTGTCGAGTTTGGAAATTGTAGAGCCTGAAGTGGCGCACGACAGCAACGACGATGAACAACAAAATAAAGCCGAAGGAAATATGGAATTGGCCCAAGACGAAGAACAAGACGACTGTAAGGACGATGAACAGGATCATAGCAAAGACGAAAACCAATCTTCGCTGCATGAACTATACCCAAATTATAAACACCCCTATTCCTACGAGAATGCCATTCAAGACATTAGACTGCAACTAAATACTTTACAATGCAAATTCGAAGACTACAAAATTGAAATGTCTAATGATGCATCAGGAACAGGTAGTCTTCGCGATGAAAACAAGCATTTGAGATGTGAAAATACAGATCTAACTGAGAGAATGAATAATCTTAAATTCATCCTGGCCGACCTCAATACAAAATTAAAGATCGCCGAAGACGAAAAGGCTAGCCTTTTAACTGCTATCCGATTAATACAGTCCGATGGCGATGTCAAGTTAAGCAACAACAATAACATATCATTACAACAAAGCACCTACCACAGAATACCTACAAAGAAGTCGCTTCAAGACCAAAGAGTAGAAATATTAATGGAAATTCATCATCGAAACAAGATAATCTTAAAACTACCGCCGCAGGCCCTAATCTGGTAAACGTTCTGGGTTCAAACCGTTATTCTCCGTTAGAAGTTGAGACGGCAGACGAGTCAGAGCAAGAAATCATAAGTGCCGACGAGGCAAGACCAACAAGCCATGGCCGAAAGCACGACTCAAAGACACAAAAGTCTAAGAAAACAACTAGCGATCCCCTCAACAAAGTCGACTGCAATTCCAGCAATGTATCAACAATCCACGACCTTGATTCCGTTACAATCCTTGGAGATTCAATGTTAAAGCGGCTGGACGTAAATAGAGTACGACGCTCTATAGACAGCAATAAAAGGGTGATTATTCGCACGTTTTCTGGAGCAACTATTGAAGATATGAAACATTATGTTGAACCTACGTTAAAGAGAAGTCCTAAAGCAATCATTGTCCACGCTGGAACAAATAACATCCCAAGGGATCGACCCGAAGAAATAGTAAGTAAACTAAATGATCTTGGTCAACATATAGAGCAAAATTCAAAGTGTCGAGTTATTATATCAAGTCTGATCACTCGAAGTGACGATAACCTTAATGCGAAAATTAGTACTACAAATAACTTGTTGGCTAACTTATGTTTAAAAAATAACTGGTTGTTTATTAAACATATCAACATTAGTAAAATCACCTGAATGCTTCTGGGCTTCATTTAAATGCTAGAGGTACGTCCACCCTAGCTAGAAATTTAATTGACTGTATAAAACATTGACAATTAAAAGTAAATTTAGACATAGAAGCAAATCTAGACGTTTCAAATCATGAATCTATTTCATCATCTATTTATGAACAACACTCGTATCCGAAACTAAAGGGCTTTAAAATAGGCCATCTTAACATAGCTAGCTTGCCAAAACACTTAGACGAACTAACTATAGTTATCAATGAACTATCTTTTGATGTAATTACAATTAACGAAACAAGGCTAGATGAAAGTTTCAATGACCGAGATGTCAGGATTAGTGGATATGACATAATACGCCGTGATAGAAATAGGCACGGCGGAGGAGTTGCCATTTACATCAGAAATAATATTCCTTATATCCAGCGACATGATTTACTCGTCCAAGACTAGAGTCAATTTGTGTTGAGATTAAAAAACCTAAAAGTAAACCTTTTCTGATATCTACATGGTATCGACCACCAAACTCCCCTATTGAACTCTTTGAAAAATTTGAAAATAATCTGCATTTAATGGAGAATGAAAACAAAGACTTAGTTATCACCGGCGACTTTAACTGTGATTTACTTTCAACAAACAAAGACGCACCTACTAAAAAACTCACAGACCTTTTAGACATATATCAATTACAACAACATATACAGATACCAACAAGAACTACCTTAAATAGCAAAACATTAATAGATTTGATGATCACTAAAGTAGAAGATACAAAAACTATTGATAGCGGGGTGATAGACTTGGGGATTAGTGATCACAACCTTGTATACATTTGCCGTAAAGTGAGTATCCCTAAACAGCCTCCAAAAATAGTCGAGACAAGGCAATTCAAAAATTTTAACACGGCAGCGTTCCAGCATGACTTACAGGAAACATTCAAAACGTACAGCTTTACTGCTGAACCAAACACTGCATGGAATGAGTGGAAAACATTTTTTCTAGACGTTGCCAATACTCATGCACCTATGAAAACCCGCAGAGTTAAAAGTGCTCATGCACCATGGCTAACAGATCAAATTAAATCTCTTTCCTATCAAAGAGATGATCTCAAAAAGAAAGCCGTCAGATTAAACTCTGAATACTACCATAAGGCTTATAAAAAATGCCGAAATCAAGTTACGAAACTCATT